CCCCCCCCCCCCGCCACAGCCTGGGCAGGAGGGAAGGACTCTTGGCACAGGGCGTTTGGGGATTCATTTATGCTATGGGGAGAGCTGGAGGGGATGTTCCAAGACCCAGCTTTAGCTTCTATGGGGACTAAACTTGATCTACCCTGAAAAGTATATAAAACAAAAGAAAAAAACCCCAAACAAACAAAAACTCCCAAAACCCAAACAAAAAAGCCAGCACTACTTTGTTAGTGCCCGAGACCCAAAAAATGAAGTGAGATTATAAACAAATGAAATATGTTAGTGTAGGTCACCAACACAGGCTATAAACATCTACATGGAAGAACATAAACTGTACAAAAAGGCAGCATGCCTGGTTTTCTGTTATATAGCATTGCAGGGTTCTTGTAAGGATACTTGAATGCTGAAACAGCCTGGGAACTTGGCTTCCCTTGCGGCAGATTGATGTTCTTTGGATGAGTTTTCAGCCATGGAGTGATTTTGTCCTGATGTTCTGTGTGTGGTGGAGAGATGTGTCGGGAGGGGGGGAGGGCCAGAAAAAGATACTTGGAATGAAAATGAACTTGAGGGAAGGAAAAAGAGCAGCTTTGCAGTGAGGCTGGGAGTAGTAATACTAGAATGCATAACAGGCAGCTAAAGATGCAAGGTTTTCTTGTCTCGAGACTCTCACTGGATCTCCGATATAGTTATAGAGCCCCTTGTGCCCATGCAATAAATGTTTAGAAGATATTCATGGCTTTAGATACTATGGACTGATGTTAATCTTCAATAATTCATTATGTTAGATATACCTGATCTCTATAATACAACACCAGAATATTCTTACACATTCTGATTTATATTTACAAGCAATACTATCTTAGATGTGAATACTTACCGTGCTGTCTAGAAAGTCATATTAAAACTAATTTCTCTTCTATTCATGCATACATGAATCCTGCACTGTACGCTGATGATAAATATAAAAATCTAACTGTATTATGCGTTTTTAATCCCAATATTAAAACTTATTTTTGCACTTTCACCTCCTATTTTTTGGGCATGAACATGGTGAGAAATAAAAAAGAAATATAGTCTCCTGAGAAGAACACCTTGCTATCCTAAAAAATAATTTGCTCTGTGTTGATGCCAAGCTATCCCATGACTTCTCGGGGTGTTTCAGGTTTCCCACTTAGCAGCTCTGGCTTCTTCTCAGGATCTCTCATCTAGCAAGATGGAAGCTGCATTTAATTGTATCTCCTTCCTCCCAGAAGCTGCTCTCCCGAAGGGCAAAGGCATTGGAGAAATCCAGGGAGGACTCTTGCTCTCTTGTAGCATGTTTTTTGGTTCAAAGCAGCATCAGCTTCACTGCTGCTCTGCAGGAAGAGGCAGCTTGGATAACACTGCAAAGCAAAATGCAGTGTAGAACAAGCTGATTTAAAAATGGCATTCTCAGTAGCAATAAAAAGGGAAGAATCACATGGGGGAATCTGAGCAGGTAAAACACCCCCCACCTCCCCAAGCTGACCAAACTCCAGTGCACTTCGTCGTGGTGGTGTTTATTAGATCTGCTGTTCCAGTGTACAGTTGTTCTAGGCTTTCCCTCCATTTATAGTAATGACCTACCAAAAAAATTCACCCAAAACCAAAAAAAAAGAAACAGAAAACTGAGGGAAGAACAGAAATGTTTAAGTCTTGACTTTATTATCCAAATAGTGCTTTTCATACTCTCTAAGTAAGTCAGCAGTTTCTTTAACAATTTTGTCTGTTTCTCTTATTTCTTTTTCATTTTCTTAAAACTTTGCGAATGAGATCTAAGCCAAGAAAACAAAAAAGTCCATGTGCACAGAATTCTTTCATCATTGGACTAACCCCTGCATCAAGTAATGCATGCATACCAAAAGAATAATAAGAGATGTTGGTAACTTGGGGGGCAAGGTGATCACAAGCACAGACTCTTATACCTAGATTTGGTGCAGAGAGGAAAGCAATAAGGCCTCCCAGGAGCAGGAAGAAAGGCTGGCAACAGAAATAAAAATGGATACGGCAGGAAAGCATATCTGTGGTTGCCTCCTGTATGATGTGTATTGACCTAGTAAATGGAGATGTCTGCAAAGGAGCTGTTATGCTATAAATATGCTTATGCTAATATTATTAAAGCTTTCAGGCAGTTCAGTTTCGTCCATATGGCTTCCCAGGCAGATGCCAAAGAGGTGGCCCCTGGCCACAGCTTGTCCGAGCAGCACGTGCCTACCTGTCCTGTAATTGCTTAATAAGATGTAGGCTGGGGTTTTTCCTGGATGGATTGTGAAATATATGCAGCTGCCTAAATAGGTGCTTGGCAAGATTTTTAAGTCTTCCTAACTCTGTTGAAATATTTATGAGCAAGACATTTGAATGCTGTTGAGGATCAGAGATAGCTCAGTGCTTAGAAGTTGTAAAAGTCCATTCCTGGTCCTCTTTGCCCTCCTTTGTATCCTTAGGAAAATAAAAATACTGCTAGAGTTGTTGATATCCAGTAGGGGCTTAACAGCACTGGTCTTTGCTTGAACATACCAGTCTTGCTGGTTAAGGAAGAGAAAACGGAGAGGGAAGAAGAGAAGATAGAAGGTGACTGGCTGATTAATAAACTAAACTAATGCAAATACTGGGAATAGGAAAGCCACTTAAAAGCAGATGATTATCCCTTGCCAATCCCTAAGATCTCACCTCACTAAGCTGCTGTTGAGATGATACCCTGAAGCAGCTCCTGGTAGGGACCTGGCCCTTGTTCCAGCAGAGAGAGTGGCGAGATGAAAGGGATGTGACTTAACCAGGATGCGACTTTATTATCTTACCACCTTCTAGAGCTATCTGGCAGTCACTTGTAGAGTGCAGGTTGTGATTTCTCCCTTAATTGCTCCCACATGCTGGAAGACTGCACTCCCTGCCCCTACACAGATGGCCCCAGCCTGCTGCAGAGACCTGCTACCCTCCTCTTCTGAAGGTTAATCCTCGTATGGGTTCAAGGGACAGGGAAAGGGTGGTGTTTTCTCAAAAAAACAGCCATTGCAAGCTGTAGCTTTGTATCCCAGGAAGGGCCATACTGCTGCCTCCTCTTATGGAAGAGATGCAGCAAGACTGCAGAGCACCAGAGCTCCACAAGCGTGTGCCTTCCTGCTGCCAGGGACCTTTTATCTGTTAGGAAAGGCAATGAGCTACCTTCTCTCCCCCTCTGCTGTGTACCTTCCTGCACTTTGAAGCTTCAGGTCATTACATTTCCTTAAACCTCACTAGGTTCAGGAGGAAAGGTGTGAGAAATAGAAGTGTGGTGGTGGTAGTGCTACTGGAAGACTATGAGACAATGTGAGAAAATGGAAAGGGTTTCCTTCTTTATAAAAATAAAATCTTCATCTATGCACATGCACATGGATAATAATGAAAGCGCCTATTCATCTGTTTATTTTGCAGGTTACGGTTTTGTGGATTTTGACAGTCCGGCAGCAGCACAGAAAGCAGTAGCATCTCTCAAAGCAAATGGCGTGCAGGCGCAGATGGCAAAGGTAAGAGCAACCATGTTATTACAGGATTATCTGAGCTGTTGGGTTAAATTTCCAAGTTTGTTTTGCTCCTGTTTTTCTTAAGGTTTCAGATTGCTTACTCCAATGTTTTTTTTCATCCTTTGGCCCCAGCACCTTATTCATCCTATGGTTTGTCTGTGTTCTTGAGAGCCGTGTCTCATGTGATGGGTTCTGCTCTGATACTCTCTCTCTGCCCCTCTCTTTGGAGAGGGTTGTAAGCGCTGGAGTGGCAGAGCGGTTGGAAACGACTTTGTGCTGACTGCAGTGTGAGAGTTGCCTTTTCTTTGCCTCGGAGTTGTCTTCATTTGGTTCCTTTGCCTTGGAATAGTTATTCTTTTCTGACGTGCCTGGTGGGCTTCTCTGAAGGAGTGATTGACTGAACATAAGGAAAGGTTGTTTGATCTGCCTTGGTTTGGCTTCTCCTGTCTTTTTATTTTGAGGACGTAAATGGAAGTGTAGCAGGTTGCTGAAAGAATAGTTGCTGGAGGTTGTCTGGAGGTGACTGGTGTCTGTTTTTCAGAGAGGCTGCAGGAGCCATGCTGTACATCTCATAGCAAGCTCAGTGAGCTCAGATACTCTGCTCCTGGAACAGTCCTTTGTCCCCAAGCAAAGGGCTGAAACGGAGATGGGGTTTATAGTAAATGACCGTCATGTGCTCCGGCTGTTGCCTTTCTGAAGGCATAATCATGTGTCTTTGGGCTCTAGACTGTGTCGGCCACCAGAAATAGCTGTTGCTTTGTACTTTAAAAATGCCTTGCCCTAGAATCACAAAAGTCTCTTAATATTGCCTGATTTAGTCTCTGCAGAGATGATGCTGGCCTAGAATCTCAAGCAGTAAAAACAAACAGGTAATTACAAAAACAGAGGCAAATCAACTAATAAGCAATCACTGCATTTGAAGATTCCCATTTAAAGGAATGCTTTGTTTTTCAACAATATCATACTAAAAACGTATTTTTTTTAAATGAAAAAGAAAAAAATCCTTGGTGGTAAGTGAGGCTCTTTTGCCTTCAACTGAATTACACTCACTCTCCTTAAAGTAACTGGATGTCATCCGTGTATTCCTTTTTAACAGTGCCCCACAATGCAAGCTATGCTGTTTTATTGGCTTTTAGGTTTTATTGACATGTGGTGATAAAAAACATTTGCTTCAAATGGGTAAAAGATGGCAAGCTGAAGAATGTGAACACCTACTAAGGACTGTACTATTCTATTTCTCAGATATATTGCATCTCCTGGTTAAAATACAGGCAATTTGACGCATTAGTCAAGCTGTGAAAAAGAAGCCAAAGACAGGAGATATGTTTTATCCTACTGGTTGATATCAAATAGCCATTTCTGGGGAGGAGTAAATCTCTAACTACATAAATCTGTAAAGTTGTAGATTTAAAATTAGAGACTTAAAGATAGGATCGAAAGATAAATCTATATTTGGTATTCTCATGATTCAGAACAATGAACAAGTTCAGCACTTGAATGTGTGGAAATACCAAAACAGAAGGTGACTTAAAGTACTGTGTTGGATCGTCCAGTAGTTTGGGGGCTAAAAGCAGTCTGATGCTTTCAGAGTGGGAAGGTCTGTACCAACCACTGAGGTTTGTTTTCTGGGGGATCTGTGGCACGAGTAGTTTTTTGCCCTCCATGATTTTGAGGAGGCTGGTGTGTACACATTTGTTTGCATAAGGCTGACTGTATTTTTATTATTTAGCCATGGTGCCTGGAATCCCAGATAGGTTCTTTTTAGTGCGTTTGAATGTTCAAGATAAATATACAACTGACTTTTCCTATCTCTGAAAAAAATCAAAGTAGAAAAATGGGGATTGAAAGGAAATTGAGACGATTCTACACAAGTACCTCACATTGCTGAGAAGGCAGGAGCCTGGGAAAGCAAATCTATCTGGAGAAACATGTTAATTCTTGCACATGTTGGAAGCCAAGTTGCATAACAGAACTGAAAGACATTACCTGCCAGTGTCTGAATTAACAGTGAGGGCTCCGAAGAGGTTAGAAGAAAGAGGCAGAAGAAGAATTTAGTCTCCGCTTCTGGAAGTTTATCCAGAACAGTGTTCTTTCAAGAACTGCTTTAATTAGTGGTGAATGGTGGCTATCAAATGAAATTAAAGAAAAAAGAGTAAGTGTGAAGAAATTACCTAAACCTTTTGCGTGCCATACCTTTAAAAAATACAGTCAGTGTCCTGGATCTTTTGTTCTGCATTGCAAAGCAGTGAAACTGCCCCCTGTAGAGGCCCGGGAGAAGACTGTAACCTGTGTTCAGTGAATGTCAGAAATCTCAGTCCAGTCATGGATGCTTTTGAATAAAGGTGAAAGAGGCGTCTGCCAGCTTTTGCTATGCACTGGCCTTCTCCAATAGCGAGAGAAAGTATGCTGAAGTGTCGGTATAGTCTGTGATGTTTTCCTGGAGAGAAATCTTGCTCGGAAAGAGAAGTTCTTTCTCAGTTTTAACACAATATAATTTTTCTCACAGAAATCCAGGAATCTTCTTTGAAAAACAAAAAGCAGAACTGAACCCCCACCCATGTTGGCTAGCAGAAGTATCTTGTGGATACTTGAGTAAAATATAGTCATTTTATCGATGCTTAAATACAGCCACCTCCCTCATTTTTATAGCATTTGGACACCTTTTTGGCTGATTTTGTTTCAGAGTGCTGCCTCTGGAAGAAGCTTAAACTCTGGTGGATCAATGCTCCAAGTCCCATCACTGCTGGAAAACTTGTTCTGTCGAGACTAATACACCCCATAACCCTGTGCAGGGAAAAACATCATTAAATGTGTCTGAATCTCTTTTTGTTCTCTTGGATGCTGTTCAGCCTGGTGTGAAGTAGTCAAGAGAGGATTCGGCTGAGGGAGAGGAACAGCACTATTATGCCTGCAGAGGTAGAGGTGGCAGCTGGGAGGTGAGGTCTCATGGTGTGGTACTCATTTTGCAACACATGGGCCAACGGACGGCTGCCCGCTTGGTGGGACAAGGACCCTCACAGGCTCCCACCCACGTGAGATCTGTGTGAGGCTCCTGTACACGTGTTGTCACCTTGCCTCTTTAGCCTTTCCCTCACACAGGTACCTGAAGCAGAAGTTTTGACTACTGCCACTGTCCTATGTCCAATTAAGTTCATCTAAGTTGTCCATCATTTTCAAAAGTGCTAATTAACGATTTCATTTATTGAAAAGAATTAACGCTATGGAGCTGCTGAGTGATGGTTTCTCAGCTGGCCTGGCTTATTTTACTATGTGCTTCCTGCTTGTCTTTGGAAATAACTCAGACGTGCAGATTTGTTTGTAGTGCCTGCTTGTCCAGGCTCGTAGAGTCCAGGTGGTGTTTTGTTTCCGTTTTCCTACTAAAAATGGCACAACTGATATGCCATCGGATAATCTCACAGGAATTATTGATTTGTTTGTCTCTTTGTGCTAGGGACTACACAAACACAACACAGAAAAGACAATGCTTATGTGCGCGGTTTATGTATCAGTTTGGGGTTTTCCATCTGCTCCTTTCCTGCATTTTCTAGAAAAATGTTATAGACAGAACATGGAAAATTAATAAGGAGAATCTTAATAATACGGGAGTTGGCTCAGACAAGTAGGCAAGGAAGCTAGTACACATGAAAAACATATCAATGTTATAATAAAATCTGTAGCCACATCTATTCTTGGGATTTACAATAGTCCTTCACCCAGAATTACATATTCATGAGGACACTTCTTAATCTGCTTTATATGTGAGCTTTTAATGATGCCGAGGAGTCTAAATCACCTGAAGGATCAATAGAATTCTGCTGTCTAAATAAATCTTGAGTGTCTGAACTTGTGTCAGCCTGAAGTTGGTGGACTGTGCAATCAGTTTATAGCTTCATGGACATTTTGTGGTCCTCTACCATCTTTCATTTCCAGTTCTAGTCTGCTGTAAGATTGCGTAAAGTGGAAGTTCAGGCAAAGGTAGGTTCTTGCAGAGAGTATATAATAGCTTCTTTAATATCTAGCAGCCCATCAAGAGTGTTGAAACAAACACATTTACCCAGGAGGTGTTTTCAATCCTGCTGTTATTCCAAGTGCATTTATAAGGATTAAAAAATGTATTTGATGATGCGTGTCTTCTCTGGGTTTTCCTTTTGTATGTGTAATGCATTTAGATGTCCTCAGCACCTGTGTGAGAAATGTGGACATGGAAGAACTATTTACTTAGCGCTGGCAGTTGTCTAAGTCCAAGGACCATTTCTCAACTACTCTGCTGCAGTAATTGCCATCCAGAGGGTACACTGAAGGAGCTGATTCTCAAAAAGAACTGTGCCAATAGGCTCTGATGTGTTTTGCTCGACAAGGGAATTACAGGATGTGATTTTGCTTCTTGTGTGATATTTTTCTCATCTCTCCATCATGCAGAAGCTTAAATACAGGGAGTAATCACCATCTAGGTGAAACATAAAAGGGAGCTGTGTCCCAAAGAACAGAGCCAAGCATAAGAGCTTCTGAGGAGGAGCAGAGAGCTGGTTGCTCTATAGTTAAATAGACAGTTTTTCTCCAAGGACCAAGGAAAAGGAAATCCCACAGAAGAATCTTAATTATTTTCCAGGCTTTTGCGTAGGTTTCAGGAATTGCTCTGGAATGAGTCAGCTGACCAAATAAGTCCATTTTGCCTGCTCATTTTTCAGCTTCATTTTCTCTTCTTTTTAAATTGCTTCCCTTTTTTCTCTGTCATATACCAATACTCTAAAGGGTTGTTCCTTAAAATGGAAACTGCAGAAAATGGAAAGACTCTCCAGTGAAAGCCCTTCTTCCTAATATTTTTTTAATCTAGATTTTTAATGGAAAATTTTAATTCTGTCTTTTGCAGTTTAAACGTTTATGAAAATATTTAATAAAAATTCTATCCTTACAAAATATGAAATATGGCCTATACACTGAACATCTGATACACTGAATCCCACAAGGGGTTTCTTAATTCATGATTGAAATGTCTGTAAATT